CCCAGCCGAAAGCCAGCATCGGCTGCAGAGTACGGCAGTGAGCCAAACTGGACGTCCGGCCTGGGGCCTTCGGCTACTGCTGCCCCAGCCAACACCTGAAGGCAGGCAGGAATGGCCCAGATGAGCCCTTTCCGAGTTCCTGACCCACACACCATGAACAAAATAAAAGTGCTTTGCTGTTACCTCTTGCTTCACCTTGCATACAGTGGCGACAAGCAATGGCTGGTCTTTTTACCATCAGTAGTACCGATGAGCATTACCGAGCGAGGGTTAGCAGATTGCACCTGGATGAGATTCGGGGCACTCTGAATCTCAGACCTCAGGACTGAGGTCGCCTGCCCTTCCAGGTCCCTTTAGCGGGCTGTGGAGGCACAGGGTAAGTGGTCTTTACCATCTCACACAAAGGATGGCCTAGCTTGCAGCCCCTTCCCAGCCAGGCCCAGGGAAGCCCGGGAATACTCTGTTACGTAGCAATAGTCATCAGGACACACTCATTACCTCCTTTCACCCATGCAACAGCCCTGGAGGCAGGTTCTGTAATCATCCCCCATTTTACAGATGAGGAAGTAGAGGCTGGGCAGAGTTGGGGGAGCCCAACTCTGGAGCTTTCCGCCAGTGGATCCTGCTCCTCTGGGTGCTGATTCACCTTTGCATCCTCAAGACCTGCCGTAGCGTGAGCACTTAATAAATATGTGTTCCCTGAATAACAAATGGACAGATCAAACACTGGAGAAATAAATGAATCTCCAGTCCTCAGTTTCTCCTTCTGCAAAACTAGAAGAGATGTTGTCTCCCATAGTCCCTTCTGTCTCTAGAATGCCATGTTCTCGGAGCAACTGCCCCCCTGTCCCCGGCCCCAGAACCACCCTGTCACTGTGCCACTCCAGCTGGCTTCCAGAGAGCGTCAGAATGTGACCCCTACTCTAGATTCGTAGATCCCTGCCCACTTCTACCCTGACCCAACCCAGAAAACCCTTCTTCCCAACACAAATCCCACTCTTCCCACAAGGCCCAGCTCCGACCCTCTCCGACCCTCCTTCCTCCATTGCCCCTCCCCCATCATCCCCACCCCCGCCCCCAGTGACCCAGGCCTTGGCCCCCAGCACCCTTGACTCTTAGAAAGTTCACAGCTTGCCTGAACACATCTTAAAGACTGAAGCCAAGGTCAAAAAAGCAACGTTCCCCGGAAAACCAGGGCCTAGGTCATTTCAAACAGCAGGAAGGCTCCCATACCTTTCTTGTTAGGATGAGCATTTAGGGGTATTTCCCAAATTTCTGTCATTTGCATATCACCTTGACAGGTTCACCAAACCTTTATACCAGTTCTACTCTTATTTAATATCTTCCTTTAAATAATCAACCTTACTTCTCCCCCTCCCTCCCTCCCTCTCTCCTTCCTCCTTTAGAACTTAGTCTCATTCCAAGCAATACCATCTAAAAAATCAGCCTGATGTGCCCATGTATGTACACATTCTAAAATCATCCCATCTGTCACCAGGGTAGAGGTCCTGCAATTTGGGAAATACTGTTTTTTTAGGGTAACAAGTTTTCTTAAGCCGCAGATTAACCTTTTGAAATAACCTTGGCACTTATTCTAATCTGTCAGCTAGAGACAGGATTTTAAAATAATTTTATCTTCTTCCTCGTGCTTTTTCCACAGCTCACCCATTTTTATAATAAGCGGTTCTTGCTTCTGTAACCAGAGCCCATAAATGAACAGTGGAAAAATAACTAAGACACCATCTGCATTTTCCAAACGCAGACCGTGGGGCGGAGAGATAGCAGGGTGAGTGCCCAGACATTGGCCAAGCGAATCCAGACGTTACTGATGTGCGCTAACTGCGAGTCCGTGTCCGGCCCTCTCCTCTTCTTCCAACTGTTGGAATTAGAGGAAATGTCATTCCTCCTGCTTATTCCCCCCGCGGGGCCAGCTGTCACCGGGTGTGTGGGGGACAGGAAACAGGATTGCAAGACGAACAGGGAGACTGCCATTCCAGCCTGGCTGTTATCACGGCCGACTCTGGACAGCCACCTTCCCTACTTGTCACTAGGATTGGGATCACAGCCCAGAATAAATGTCGAACCAGGGCAAAACTGGGAGTACCTGGGAGTCTTCCCCCAAATCAGATACATTGTATTGAGCATGGACTAGGAACCAGGCACCCTATAGACATTTTCTCATATAATTCTTAAAAGAATCCTGGAAAGTGGAAGCTATCATTTATGCCCATTTTACAGGTGGAGATACTGAGGCTCTGGGAGGTTAAGTCACTTGCCCGAGGTCACATGCTGATAAATGCAGAAGCAAGGATGGAAGCCAGGTTCGTCTGAGCCCCATAGCCTTCTGTTGGAGCCACTCTGCCTTACTCCGTCTCCTTCCCAGAGGCCATGTGCACAGGACTGGGCAGATGACCCTGTTCACTCTCCCAGCCTGGTCAGTGCTTAGTTCAGCCCTCTGGCTCCCCAACGCAACTCCTAACATGGCCACAAAGACACACGTGGTTCTTAGGCTGCAGGTTTTAACCGTACATGTCAATTACATAGTGCCTACTAAATACCCACCACCCTTTCCCGCCTTTTTCCTGCAAGTGCCTACCCTAAGAGGACACCTAGATGACCCCTCAGCCAATCTGCACTAACGGGGGGTTGATCGGGACAGCCAATTCAGACCAAAGTAGAGTCATCCACCTAAATACCTAACCAGCTGTGTTTAAAACTTTAGGGGAGAGTCCCCGGGGTGACCGACATTTCATCTCTCAGACACCTGCACTCCCCACCTGACTCTCCTCCGTGTCTATCATTCTATCCCATCAGCTCCCAAAGTGCAGGGCCCGGGCCTGACATAGGAAAGCAGTGAGGAGGGGGCCTGGGGATAGACATCCACAATCTGTGGCCAGGGAACGCTTCTTGGAAGAAAGGACAGCTCCAAGGACACCTAGTGATGGGCAGGAGATGGCCGAGTGAGGAGGAGGGGAGAAAGCCTGAGGCAGACCAGACATGCTGTTCCAAGGGCCAAAAACAGTGGGAAGGATACAGGCGTGGAGCATCCCCTTCAGCATGACAGAGACAGAGAGGGGGCACTGGTGGGAGGCAAAGCGAGGGGGAGTGGCCGGGTCAGACAAGAAGGGCACGGCCCACCACGGGAAGGAGTCTGGACCTTATACTGAGGGCAACCAGACTTGGTGACTGGTTACAGGTGAAGGGGCGATTTAAAACACCTCAAATCCATGATCTCACCTGTTCTTGACTTTGTGGAAAGGAAGGAAGACCCCTGGTTTGCAGGCTGGAACAGGGTGGCTTGCTTCCAGTCCCTACATGCACGGCCTCGACCCTCACCCACAGGAGGATGGAGGTGCGACTCTGTCAAAGCCTAAAATCCCTTAGTGACAACTAGCAGTCAGGACGACAGGGGAGCGTGACCACTGCAGCAACTTCAGCCTGGTACTCTGAGCCCAGGGCTGCAAACAGGCTGACCCCTCCCCGCCCACCAGCTTTCTGTGACACCTGTTGTCAACTTTTCCACTGAACTTGGACTCAGTCCAACTCCAATTTCAAAATGCAGACATTCGAAAAGTCAATTGTTATTTTTTTAACAATAATAATTTAAGAACTTGGTTCTTTTAGCCACAAAAAGCATCTTATTATCTGTGATGGGGGGGAAAACCGATTCTAAATGCTGAAATGCATATGAGTGGGGCTGAGATGTGCACACCTGAAGGTCACAGTGTATTTCTTTTTTAAAAGCATGCAAAATTTAGGATGCCTGGGTGGCTCAGTCGGTTGAGCTCAGGTCATGATCCCAGCGTCCTGGGATCGAGTCCAGTATTGGGCTCCTTGCTCAGTCTGCTTCTCCCTCTGCCTGCCCCTCCCCCTGCTTGTGCTCTTTCTCTCTCTCTCTGACAAATAAATAAATAAAATCTTTTTTCAAAAAAAAAGTGCTTTTAAAAAAATAATAATAAATAAAAGCACACAAACTTAGATCGGGGAAGCCCGCTTGCTAAAAACAATTTCCATGGCATGAATTTCCAAACCAGTGTGAAAAGGACAACACTGTGGCTTTTCTCTGTTCCTCTCTTAGATCCCTTATTTTTCTTTGAATGCATATGTCTGTCCACCTCCCTGACTCACCCCTCTCCTGTCTTCCAGAAAGGATAAGGAAAACCTTCCTATGTGATCTCATTTTATTTTGAAACACTAAACCCACCAAAAGGGGGGGGTGACGGGGAACCCTTTCTTGGTCAAAGGAATCAAGATGTATTTCTAATTCTCTTGCCATATGGTAAGTTATTTTGGAAGCATATCAAGAGGTAGAGAGAATGTTTGACAAAATTGGCAATACTCATACAATCCTTTCAAATCAGACCAAATTCCCACTATGTACATTTGCTACAGACCCTTCTATTCATCATATCAGCGACTGTGACCACAGGATATGTAAAAATACCGAGCAATTTTTATCACCAGCTCCCAATCCCCCTGTGCCCCCAGACCACCACGTGGTGTCAAATTTGTCTGCATTTCACCCCCAGGAAATCGAGTCATTAACTTCCCTTTCATTTACCAAGAGCTGTTGCCAAAAAGAAAATCATTCATCGGCTGTGACTTATGGGAAGAAAGAGAGAAAGGACTGATTTCACGAGAAGGAGAGAGAAGGCAAAGAAAAGGGAGAGAAAGTTGGAGCTTTTCTTGTCCCGGGGCAGATGGAGAACGCCAAGTTCCCTGGTGCCTTCTCCCCCCTCCCATCTCCGGAGGACACATTCCCCCCACCACCACCACCCAGGGCTGTCCCACAGCGTAAACCACACCGGAGCATGTGGGGGTCGTCAGACGGTGGGACTGAAGGTGCCTATCTCGCCTTTCCTCGATGGCTAACGTGCCTGGGCCTCTGCGGGCAGGAAGGCTGGAGGAGGTAGGTTCTGGGCTGCTGCTGGCTCTCCTGGGTTCCCTGGGGGGGTGGGGGGCACGTGGAGAGAAGGGAGCCCAGCGCTCCACCTTCTTACCTTTGCATTCTTGACATTCTGTGTAGCTCCATGTCATCACTGCCCCGGAATCCTTTGGCGAAGGGATTATTCTCAATCTTTAATTGGGTGATCTGCAGAAAGGCGAGAGAGAGAGAGAGAGAGAGAGAGTGTTGGTTTTCACTTGATGGCTGGAAATGCAGCCTCTGGCGACCAAAAGAAGCAAATTAAGCCAGTCACGTCAGTGAGACTCACCACTTCATTCAAGAGGAGGCTTTGAAAAATGCCCTCGATCAGACCACTTTTTAAAAGGGGAAAAAACCTGGTTTCAGTTTGCCCGTTAACTGGAGTCATACTCTGCATCACTCCAGCTGGGTTGGTTTGTTTTTTAATCCTGGCATGTTGTGTTTCAAACACAATCTAGGCCTCAGCACTTGGGAGCCCTCCTTCCCCTCGGAAAGTTGGGCACGGGGACGTGGTGTTGCTCGTCCCGCAGCGTGGTGAGCGCCGTTTGGAGAAACTTGGTTGCTTTCAAAATTCTGTTTCTGTCTCATGCCTTGTTCATTTCAGCTTCACAGACCAGTTAGCTAGCACAGGTGGAAGATGGCACCAGATTAAATAAACACCCACAGAGAGAATTGTAACATACGTGATAGCTGTCTATCAGTTCCAAAGCCCTTCAGTTTTCCAGATAAAGAACACAGAGCCCTCTTCTCCCGAATGTTTGTTGCAATGTACAAAACTTAGCAATAGAACAGGATCTTGGGTTCAAAGGTCAGAACTTCCACAGAAACCATCAACACATTGTCTGTGAGCGTGAGCGTAGAGTAACAGATCCAGATGAAAGAGTACATCTGTATGGAGTCTGCTAAAAGTATTTCCTAAAAGCTGCGTGTGAACTGAGTTTTTATTTATCGAATCATTTTAGAACCACCGAGGCAGCATTCACGAGGTTCAATCATGCAAGCTTCACCTTCACCATCATTATTGTATTATATCTATAATCTTATTATATAATAATAGTATATAATACATATTATTATTTATACTTACAATGTAAAACTATTTCTATAATATTATATCTATCTGTACACTGGTCTCTGCTTAGTATTTTGATTTAAATCTAACCACTTTTTGTTTACATTTATTTTATAAAAAATATGGTATCACTTCTCTCTACCTCAAACTGGAATCATGAGCTATTCAATAAAAGGAAAACTATTGTATCAAATTCTCTCTACTGGCCCCCGGCAGAAAGTTCTAAACCCAAGGCCTGCCCTCACTTTTTTTTTTTTTTAAAGATTTTATTTATTTATTTGACAGAGAGAGGCACAGCGAGAGAGGGAACACAAGCAGGGGGAGTGGGAGAGGGAGAAGCAGGCTTCCCGCCGAGCAGGGAGCCTGATGCGGGGCTCGATCCCAGGACCCTGGGATCATGACCTGAGCCGAAGGCAGACACTTAATGACTGAGCCACCCAGGCGCCCTGGCCTGCCCTCACTTTGTTGCAAGGGGAAACGAGACACTTTCAGAGACATATTTAACACACACTGGGACTGAACTCTCTCCCTGATCGATGAATAGAAAGATAATCAAAATGAGAACAATTTTCTTGATCCCAACCTATGCAAGTACCCACAAAAACTACCTCAGCTACCCGCCACAGGAGAGTTCCAGACTTTGAGAAACTGAGCAAGTTCCTTTGAGAAACCAGGAGTAGTAACTAGTGAATGCACCTATAATTCATCCCTTTAGGGGCAGGCATTCTGGTATGTTCTGTTTCAGAAGAGATGGCCTTATAAGGTTTCCTTCTAACTCCAAGACTCTATAATGAACATGAAATTACTATATTACACACGTGTATGTGTGTGTGTGCTTGCCATAAAAAATATACATGAAATTAAAGTTTTAAAAATATGTTATATGATTCCAACCCTATGACATTTTGGAAAAGGCAAAACTATAGAGACAGCAAAAAGGGACCAGTGGTTGCCAGAGTTTGTGTGGGGAGGGAGGGATGAATAGGCAGAGCACCGAGGACTTTAAGTAAAGCTATTCTGTATGATAATGGAACGGTCGATACATGTCCGCGACTCTATATGTGTCCACACCCACAGAATCTACGACCCCCAAGAGTGAGCCCTCATGTAGTTTCTAGGTGATAACAATGTCTCAGTGTAGGTTCATCGATTGTAATAAATGTCCCAGTCTGGTGGGCGGTGGCGATGTTGATCATGGGGGAGCCTTTGTGGAGGGCGGGGGCACAGGGGGTCTAAGAGAACTCTGTATTTTCCACTTTACCTTGCTGTCACCCTAAAACCACTCTAAAAAAATAAGACATATTTTAAAACTTTTAAAATAGGTGTGTGTCTTTATGTATACACACATTCCCTCCTCCCTCATTTTCTTTAAACTGGACCCATTCCTACAACTTTCTGATTTTGACTTGACCCTTCAGAATGAGTAGAAAAACCTGTAAAGGTCTCTTAGAAACACAGTCTTTAAAATGTGCACTCCCGAATCCACTTCTGTTTTGAGTCCAACAGGCCATTACCTAGTAGAGCTTTCTTTCCCACTCAGGCTTTATCATTAAAAAATGCAACCCAATTGACCATAAATCATGCTATTTTTAAAGGTGGGGGGCGGGGGGGGGTAGGATTCTCAAAATGTGAAGTAAAAATCAGATCATTCAAAAAGAGGTGGAGGGAATCCTCGCTGCACTTCCCTGTGAGTTTTGTAGGCAACATGGGTGTGGTATCGGGGCTGGATGAATGGCTAGTCCATGACATCTCTGTTCCAGCAAGAGCTGGGGACAAACAATTACTGTAAGGGGAAAAAAAAGGAAAAAAAAAAAAAAGGAGGGGAGGTGGGCTTTGGTATTTTTATCAGCAAAACTCTTTCGCTTGAAACCATCCCTTGCACCCCAAACAGGTCCTACTACTACCTAATGTTTGAGCTTCCAAAAAGATGATTGCACAGGACAAGCACAGTTTGCTATACAGACACTTCAGTACGTTGATCTTACGTTAAGTCTTATGCATAGACTGAGTATGGAGGTCTAGAAGGCATAAGGATTATTACCCTTGAGAAATGCTCATACACAAGCTCAGCTGCAGGTGAAAATGTCCGCCTGAGTCCGTACAGACCCCAGCTCTGGAATTCCCTTCCAAACACGCTGCATGTTGGCTAGCTCACTCATGGGCACATGATCCGGTCGGATGTCTGAGTTCTACTAAAAGGCTCCAATGAAACGGACTTGCACTCGTCGCACAAATGTACTCCCTCTCCAAGATCAGCATAAAACCGGATATCCGGGGGAGGGTGGAGGGTGAGGGCTAAAACAAATATAAATACCAGCTCCAACCAGTGAGACAGAGGTTGTAAAAATTAATGAGAATAATTGTTGTGAATTCTTGCTTTTGGAAAAAAAAAAAAAAACCCTCACAAGGGCCAAAAATCTTAATTATGTCTCTCTATTAGGGGTTCATTTCCTGGTCCGAACCAGAAAGCTCATACCTCATAAATACAGACTCTTTACACAATGATTTAAGCAGGAGGAAAAATGCCTTTTAACGGCAAAGTAAGTTAATATTGGGGGATAGACATGGCTTGCATACACAGCCATTGTTGCAAGAGCAGAGAAATGAGATGCCCACGTGACCATTTTTTAACACCTAAATATTTCTAGGGCTTGTTCTGGGCGCTGCTGACAGCCTCATCAAAAACCTTACAAAAACGTGTTTCACAGAGCAAACGTCACTGCTACGAAAGAGTCGAGTTTTTTAAATATCTTTTTCAAGCTGTCAGCCATCTGGGAAAATAGCTCCCAGATCCAGCTTGGGATCACAGCTGGGCTGAGGAAACATGTCGTCGTGTCATTAGGAGCCGCGGGGCATACGGGTGTGTGACCCCTGCCTAACAAACGAAGGTCGCCAGGTACCTGCCTCCACCTGGGATACCGGCATCCGAGCAGAGAGAGAGCATTCTGAAGGCATTGGGCCACTTACACCAAAAATGAGTGTCCCAAATTGTTCTGGCAATTTAATCCCGTGGATTGCTGTTCTGTCCTCGCTCACGTATCCAAAGCATCATGCGGGGCAAAGAGTCCTTGAATTGATGGCATGTTCAGGGACTGAACGAACTCACCCACCAAGACGGACACTTGTAGTGGCTTTTCAAACACGGTAAGAAGAACTTATTTGAAAACTCAGTTCTTCTGATTCTAGAATAATCAGGGAAGGCAAAGAGTTTCCCAGGGCCTGCGTTTTGGATGGAGTTGTCCTGTTATAAATGGATCAGCTGAGTAGTCAATCCACAGCATCATAACTCACCCTCTGCGTGAGCATGCGTGCAATGCTCTGTGCTACGCGTTTTCCAAAGATTATCTCGTTTAGTCCTCACGCTGATAAACATTAGCAATTCTTGTCTCATCCCCATTTTACAGAGGAGGAAAACTGAGTCCAGTAACTTGCCCAAGTCAAATGGATTTAAACCCAGGCAGCCTGCCTCCAGAGTCCCACCTGAACCCTAGGCAAGGGTGAGTAAGAGCGCAAGTGGCTTCTGCCCATGAAATCAAGAGTCTCAATACCTCGCCCAGCCAGATGGGACAATAAAGGAACAAGACAGAGTCCACAAACCACACTCAGCTTGGCCTGAGTGTTTAAGTCACACGTCCTATATCCACGTGGGGAACGCCTGCAGCAGCCCTGGAGTGGGCTGGAAAATTTTACTGCTTTAGACTGCTTCCTGACGAAGAACATAGGGGCCTTTGGTACTTCACAACTAAAAAGTGGGAGGGGGAAGAATGACGGAAAGTTGTCTTCTATGAAATCCCTCTTCCGGATGTCAGGCTGGTGAAAAAAACCTTTATGGCCCAACCAATTAAAAACAAAACAAAACAGTACCCAAATTCCCATCTGTGAACCCGTTGTGTGGTCATCAGACACACATCTCTCCGGATGCGGATTGGGAGACACACATTTTTAGACCCATGAGCATTTAGACACACAATCCCCTAGATTGCACTCAAATCTCACACATATACACCCTATTAGGCAGACACTCCTTCAAGCGCATAGATCACTAAATATATTCATTGGGAAGGACATTTTAAAAAAACAGAAATATGAGGGAGTAGGGTATATTCACAAGTGGTCACAATGATAAATACATGTCAAACTCGTCAAATTGTATACTTCAAATATTGCAGTTTATTGTATGATAGTTATGCCTCAAAAAGCAAAGAAAGAGGGGAGCCTTGGTGTGGCTCAGTTGGTTGAGCGTCTGCCTTCGGCTCAGGTCATGATCCCGGGGTCCTGGGATCGAGTCCCGCCTTGGGCTCCCTGCTTAGCGGGGAGCCTGCTTCTCCCTCTGCCTGCCGCTCACCCTGCTTGTGCGTTCACTTTCTCTTTCTCTGAGACAAATAAATAAAATCTTTTAAAAAAAAAGAAAGAGACAGAGAGAGAGAGAGTACATGCTCTCCCAGATCTAGCCTTGCCTGACGGACCCTAAGATCATAACTACACAGAGCTTAGGGATTTCCCCCAAAGGCCCCAAGCACTCACATCTTTCTTTAGCAGGTCACTTTCATGAGTCTACCATTTCCTGTCCTTTCTGTGTGAGTCTGGGCTTTTTTAATTGAAAAGAAAGAAAGAAAAGAAAGAAAATCTGATATATCTTTGGACCCTCTGTCAGGTCTAAGTGTGTGTGTGTGTGTGTGTGTGTATGGATATATAAATATATAGATGTGTGTGTGTGTGTGTGTATACATACATATGAGAGGGAGGGAGGGAGGGAGGGAGCAGTGAGACTGAGTGTGCTCGTTGCTATTTTTTCCAATTTTTTCCCCTGTGACTGTCACCACAAAGTTAAACATAGATTTACAATAGCCATAGAGGAAACAGGTTTCTAGCAGCCAGACCCAAATTAGCCTGAAATAGTTTTGCAATTTTCAGAGTATTTGACCTTAATGTTTTTGCTCTTGTTGGTTTGACAAGTCAGGGGTGGAATTCAGAAAAATCCTTCTTCCCCTTTAAAAAGTAATTGCATTTTGGAGAGAGCGAGTTTTCTTCTGGAGGGAAGCTCTCTCAAGGCTTGAGTCCCCAGACAGGACTTGCAGCCTAGAAAGGACCATCCATCACAACTTGGCCTGGTGACTGACAAGCTGAATTTGGACATTACCATCTTATAACTGCCTTGGCTTCCTGGTGGTGGTGGTGGGGGGGGTGTTATCTGACACCCAGCATATAGGCGGGAGGCTTTAGGGTGCTAAACCTACCCCTCACCCCTGCCCTGGCCTCTTCCACCTGGCTTCACGGCCCCTGTAACTTCCCGCCACCCTTCCTTGCAGGTGGGGACAGGAGCTGTGGAGGAGGAAGGGCGTCACCATCCCCATGTCCATCTCCTTATATTGCCCCAGTGACCTGCCCTCACTGATCCCATATGGAAGTCCCTACATTCGCCTTCAACAGTCCTCCAACCCAGATCACACTACTTAATGCTAACAACCTGCACCCCTACAGTGCCCCCTTCCCTGTATCTTGCCTTGCCAGATTCTATATGTCTTTTCAGAACTAGGCTTAAGAATCACTCAATCCTGCCCCCCCACCAATAAAATGAATCCAGAAGCACTTAAGTTTCGAAAGAACAGAAGTGAACCATGAGAAGTCAAGAGAAGCCCTTTCTCCTGGGAAAAAAGAAAAGATATCCCCCCAACCTGCAGTGAGGGGGTAACCTGTTCCAGCACCATTGTCCAGCTTGGAAATGCCCAAATTGGGGCCTGGATTTTGAACAGCGTGGGAGTTGACGTTGACAGGATCGAGCTGTAGCCTCCCACGTCTACACCACACTGCAGCCTCCTTCTGGAAGACTGAGGCATCCGCAAGCTGTGGTTTTGCTGCGGTCTCCTCTAACTCCTGGGAGCTGGGGCGGGGGCCGGGGGGAGGTGGCAGAGGTCGCTTGGGTTTTTTGGGTTTTTGTTCTGATTTTCAACAATGCCAACCCTGCCTCACTGTGGTCTGTCCAGGATCAGTAACCACGGAGACAATGAGAGAAGCATCTTGCAAATCCAAGCCCAAGGCTCCTGGCAATTTTTCACCTGCCCCAGGTCAAGCTGAAATGCATCCCAAAGGCAGACTGGAGGAGAGACCCTCACCTGAGAAAGAGGTTCCACGAAGGTGGCCCCAGGCCCCCACCCAAGAGCACGGAGCCCTGCAATAAAGTGACCTTTCTTCCTGCCGATCACTTCATGCGTGCAGAGAGATGCGTTCCTGTATTTGAATGCGCGGTCACCTACAGTCTGACAAGTTTGTTTCTAACCGGTGTGTGTGTGAGAGAGAGACAGAGACAGAGAGACAAGGAGAGACAGAGAGACAGAGAAGAGAGTCCCGAAAATCCCTGAATATAGTACAAAGAGCTGCAACCCTCAGGATGTAGCTTGGTCCCTGCCCCAGCCCCCTGGGGTAGAAGCTGGTGCCCGCTGTGAGCGAATGAAGAAGCCCTCAGAGCTTAAGAGTTTCAGCAGGAGACCCCTGCATCCTCCTGCAAAGGCTCAGGCAGTGGCCCCAGCACGCCGGTTCCCGGGCCTCGGGCTTACCTTGTGGTTCTGGTAGGAAGTCACGGCGATAAACGCCGTCTCAGGAAAGACGTGGGTGCAGAACGCAGTATTTTTTGAGCCAAATCCATTATTTTCATCCGCCTTCACGATGTGTAATCTGGGCTGGTATTTGTGCATGGAATTTAGAATAATCTAAAAATAATAAGGAAAATGAGATTGTAAGAAAAATCAAAACCCCTTTGTTTCCCAATAAATCCCCTCTCTCCACCCTTAAAATTCACCTCCTTATACAGGCTCTCAAAAAACGGTCTGATTTTTTTTTTCTCCTGTTTTGAAAAGGGGGCCAGTGATTTCATTAAAAAGAAACATTTCAAAGATGACAATTTCCAACCCAAAAAGCCAGGGTAATATTCCAGGAATCTACCCAAAGCACACACGGCAGTAAATCAGAATTCTTAATAAAGTTTGCTTAATAAATTAACTCCTGCATAGGGTACTTCCCCCCCACCCCCATAGGAGAGAAGCAAGTCTGGAGCAAGGAACTGGTTTCCCAGGGGGAAGTTTAAGCGTCAATTTCAGAATGAAAGGGGAGAAGACACAAACGAATAAACAAACATCCCCCCACCCCCCAAAAAAAGAAACCGGCTAAAAGACGGAAAAGAAAAAGACCAGTGTTTGCAGAACTGGAGTAAAAATCACAGGCTTGGCCCTTTGTTAGGAGAACGTGCAAAATAGAGTCAATGGAAAAAAGAAGAAGATAATGGGATGGGGAGTGGGCCTCTAAGGATGGAGAGATTGGAGCGAAGAAGCACCCGCCATCACACTGCCACCAAAGGAGGGCCTGCTTCTCTCCAGGTTCCCTTTCTACAACTTATCAACGTTTTCGGGATCCACTGTGGGAACTATCTCCAGACTTGGCCCCAGACAGAAGGACTGCATCTACCTTTTTGGGAATGCGCTCTTTCTCCTTCCTTTCTACCGACTCAATGTTTGAGGTGCTCCCAGGGACAAGCGGGGTCTTACTGCTGCAGCTGCACCTTTAACAGGACGACTCTAACCAGTACTAAGGGGGAGAGAGGCTCCAGACTCCACACCCTCTCTGCTGGAGCAGGACTAGCCCCAGCGGATGAGCATCTTTGCTAATGAAACTGGCTTTGCTGTTCGGAGGACGCCTGGCTTTTGATGATTTCGGGAGGCTGCCTAGGCGAACATTTATCAAAGCGTTCGGATATATACCCACCGAATGCGCCAATCGCCGCGCTCAACGGGCTGAAAATCTGGCCTGCTTTTTCCCCAGGACCGCCAACTGGAGCGGCGGAGACTGTCCCGGTGTCTTTGATTATTCGCGTTGATGACCCTGGGGCAGGGTCCTTGGGCCAACCCTAGAGACCCGCCCGGAGGAGGGGGAGGGGAGGTGGGGAGGGGCGAGAACCCGGGACCCCGCGGCTCCCGACGACCCCGGCCGCGCGGCTCTAATCTCCGGCCGCCGCGGCCCCGGCCGCCTCCCTGGCCGATAGCGACGCCGGCCGGGGCGGCGTGGCGACAGAGAGACGCAGCGGGGCCCCGCGGGCCGCCGCAGTCCCCGGCCGGCGCGCCCATCGTCCCGGCTTAGCCAAATTGCTTTGACGGCCGGGGACAGTGTGGAGACGTCAGCGCGAGGGCGATCTAATGGCTCCTAATTTCATTAGGGCGGCTCTGGACTCCGAGTCCGGAGTTGGGGGGCAGGGCTGCGTGGCAGCGGGGGAGTCCGGGGCCACCCCGAGCGCCCTCCCTCTCCCGCGGGCTCGGGAGGACTGGAAACTCGCAAGGGTGCCGGAGCCTGGTTGCGGGGCCGCGCGCCTTCCCCAGGCGCCCACCCCAACGCGCCCAAAGGGCACCCCCGGGACGCACGCAGAGAGAAAGCCAGGCGCCCGAGTGAGACAGTCCCGCTGTCTGGCACCAAGGTTCCACGGGGTCCCCCACAAAAGGGTCCTACCCAGCCTCCTGGAGGCCGCCAGCCAGGAGGGGAAAACCATCCCATTTCTCCCCGGCGCTTAACCTAGACAGAGTCCCGGTTCTGCGTCCGCAGGTACGCGTCACCCCGGCCAGCCGCCGCCCCTGGAAGCTCGAGGGCATTTCTCGGCGGGGATGCTCCCGCCCGCAGCAGGCTGCCGGCAAACTGCCTGGTTGAAACGCGGAGGAGGCCGGGCGGTTTGCCCTGAAACACCCCTCTGCACCCTCTGCTCCTTCCCCACCGCGCAGGAAGGGAATGGGCCTTCCTTCTCTCTTCCTCCCAGCGGCCAACAGTTCAAGCTCCGGGGACCACGTGCAGAGATGGCGGCGGCCTGCATCACTGTCCCAACCCCACCACACACCCTGCGGGTTCAGTGTTTTAGCCCTAAGGCCCCACAGGAGCAGGTTCTCCCTTTGGACATTCCCAAATGGTCCTCCTCCGGATCAAATCCATTCAAACCCAGTACCCTCAACCGAGGACCCTGTGTTTGTTGATTTTCCCTAAAGAGACCACATGGCAGGATAGAGACCACTCTTGGAATTAGAGAGATCAAGCCTCAAATCCCTGCTGCCAAAAACAAGCTGCATGACCCTGGGCCAGTGCCCTCCTGTCCCCTGGACTCCCATTTATAAAGGGTGCATATTTGTGTCCTCCTTTCTAGGCTGCTATGAAGGCCAAGTGCCCGAAGATGAAGGAGCCCACTTGATGGTGGAATCATCAAGCCAAGGGTTCTGAACACACTGAATTCAGAGACTGTGTCCTGTCCTGGTGATCAGTTATTGCCAACGAAAAGATCTAGAGACATTTTCCCCCAAATCGGTGTTTTGTTCTTCATTTGTTTTTTGTTGAGGAAGAGAATCTACTTAAAGCGAGAGAATCTGCGAAAAAGCTACACATTCTTTTGGAAGGTGGGAAGGGGCAGGACACTCAATGTCCCACATGCAGATTCAGGGGGTTCACCAGGCCACTCTTGGGGGGCCCATGCGGACTCCAGGTTTAGGGCTCTGGTCCAGGTTTGCCTGCTCCGGGCGTGGTGGGGGCGGGGCAGGGGGGAAGCTGGAAGTTGGGGGGAAAAACTGATAATCCCAAGCTATCAGCTAAAAAGGGGTACCAGGGGCGCCTGGGTGGCTCAGTTGGTTAAGCGACTGCCTTCGGCTCAGGTCATGATCCTGGAGTCCCGGGATCGAGTCCCGCATCGGGCTCCCTGCTC